TTTAATACCAGTACTCAGTGAACCAATCCCTCATTAATAGCTGTAATATAAAGAGAAATCACGCTGTTTGCGTCATAGTCCTCACCCACATTTTAATTCTCTATAGTTTGAATGAAATATGTGAATATTGGCAGAACATTTAATGCTGCACGCAGATTCACCCATAATCTAATAAATCCAATAGTCTCTAATATTTGTTCCTTGGATTTCTCCTTGGAGTTCCCACGGCGGTGAATTACAGTAACGCCATCGTCACCGTAAATTCTCTAATGAAAGTTCCCTCAATCTGCTAATGATAAGTTTTGGTGACAAGTCGGTCATCCTTGGGATTCCTCAGCACGGTTCACTCCTAATAACCTGCGACAGCTTTCTACCTATTCATCTGGAAAGCTTAATTAGAGAGAAAAAGGAGCGATTCATAGCGTTAAAAAAATAAACTGTCCAAAGATGTCAGCTCATTAAAAGAGGTAATGTAAGGTTAAACTCCACCAGATCTCCACCCTGAAATGTTAGGGTACCCTTGTGTCACTAATAACTTTGTTACAGTGTTTCATCATTCATTAATCATCTCCATTTTATCCAGCATGGGACGCCCACTCGTGTGTGACTATTTCATTATTTGGATTTAATATTGTAGATTTCCCATTCTAAGAACATTTTGCTGTTAGTGGAGCACACCCCAAGTGTTAGTGTACTTTATACGCAAATAACCCAGCTCATTTCTGTGTCTACTCCACACGCACAATTATTAAAGATTCCAGCAGACATTAACCCTTTGGAAAACCCCAAGAAATGATTTGCTCAGTTTCACAAGTCATTTACAGGGTGGTCCTTAGTGAATAGCTGACTTTAATTATAATTGCAAAATGTATCTAGTTGTATCTGACCTGGATCGTAAGAATGGCTGAAAATGTGTAAGGTCGCTAGGCAGGGCAGTGTGACATTTATCAGATAAACCATCATTTAGAGTTAGTCGTGACAAGGGAAATAAAATGGATAAACAAATACATTTGGGATTCAGCTGTGCATCTAAAATAGGGAAACATTTTTTTACTCCTTTTCATTTTGTTTGGTTTTTTTCTGTTCAATAAAATATACATATTTTTACAAAAGCAGCTTCTTACTTTACTGCTGATCCCCGGACGTACTGCTGGTGTGGAGGAGGCAAGGAAGGTGTTAGCCCCCCAGTCTGAATCAGGGGAGGCACCCCAAGGCACAAAACTTCATAACATCTTGTGGGTGTATATCTAAAGCGCAAAATTCATTTATGTTTTGTCGTACTTCACCATGTACCATTGGTTTACCCCGGTTTTAGATGCATAGCTGAATCCCAAATGTATTTGTCTATCCACTTTGCTATTAAGAGCGGTGGTTAATTAGGAAAACCACCTGGGAAGCTGCATCAGTTATATAAAAGCTAAGTACCACTGTGTGTGGCATGTGTCGCATATCTGGTTTGGGTGACACAGAGGTAGGATACATATTAAAAATAATTTTTTGTCATTATAAACTTATGAAAAAAATATGTATATTTAATTTATACAGCACTGACAGGTATACTCAGCACTTTACAGGTTACATTACAGTAGAGGGAGGTACAGTAAGTGCAGTAGGTATACAGTGTATGTATATTTTATTTATATAGTGCTAACAGGTATACTCTGCACTTTACAGGTTACATTACAGTAGAGGGAGGTACAGTAAGTGCAGTAGGTATACAGTGTATGTATATTTTATTTATATAGCGCTAACAGGTATACTCAGCACTTTACAGGTTACATTACAGTAGAGGGAGGTACAGTAAGTGCTGTAGGTATACAGTGTATGTATATTGTATTTATATAGCACTAACAGGTGTACTCAGCACTTTACAGGTTACATTACAGTAGAGGGAGGTACAGTAAGTGCAGTAGGTATACAGTGTATGTATATTTATTTATATAGCGCTAACAGGTGTACTCAGCACTTTACAGGTTACATTACAGTAGAGGGAGGTACAGTAAGTGCAGTAGGTATACAGTGTATGTATATTGTATTTATATAGCACTAACAGGTGTACTCAGCACTTTACAGGTTACATTACAGTAGAGGGAGGTACAGTAAGTGCAGTAGGTATACAGTGTATGTATATTTTATTTATATAGCACTAACAGGTGTACTCAGCACTTTACAGGTTACATTACAGTAGAGGGAGGTACAGTAAGTGCAGTAGGTATACAGTGTATGTATATTTATTTATATAGCGCTAACAGGTGTACTCAGCACTTTACAGGTTACATTACAGTAGAGGGAGGTACAGTAAGTGCAGTAGGTATACAGTGTATGTATATTGTATTTATATAGCACTAACAGGTGTACTCAGCACTTTACAGGTTACATTACAGTAGAGGGAGGTACAGTAAGTGCAGTAGGTATACAGTGTATGTATATTGTATTTATATAGCGCTAACAGGTGTACTCAGCACTTTACAGGTTACATTACAGTAGAGGGAGGTACAGTAAGTGCAGTAGGTATACAGTGTATGTATATTGTATTTATATAGCGCTAACAGGTGTACTCAGCACTTTACAGGTTACATTACAGTAGAGGTACAGTAAGTGCAGTAGGTATACAGTGTATGTATATTTTATTTATATAGCGCTAACAGGTGTACTCAGCACTTTACAGGTTACATTACAGTAGAGGGAGGTACAGTAAGTGCAGTAGGTATACAGTGTATGTATATTTTATTTATATAGTGCTAACAGGTGTACTCAGCACTTTACAGGTTACATTACAGTAGAGGGAGGTACAGTAAGTGCAGTAGGTATACAGTGTATGTATATTTTATTTATATAGCGCTAACAGGTGTACTCAGCACTTTACAGGTTACATTACAGTAGAGGGAGGTACAGTAAGTGCAGTAGGTATACAGTGTATGTATATTGTATTTATATAGCGCTAACAGGTGTACTCAGCACTTTACAGGTTACATTACAGTAGAGGGAGGTACAGTAAGTGCAGTAGGTATACAGTGTATGTATATTTTATTTATATAGTGCTAACAAGTGTACTCTGCACTTTACAGGTTACATTACAGTAGAGGGAGGTACAGTAAGTGCAGTAGGTATACAGTGTATGTATATTTTATTTATATAGTGCTAACAGGTATACTCTGCACTTTACAGGTTACATTACAGTAGAGGGAGGTACAGTAAGTGCAGTAGGTATACAGTGTATGTATATTTTATTTATATAGCGCTAACAGGTGTACTCAGCACTTTACAGGTTACATTACAGTAGAGGGAGGTACAGTAAGTGCTGTACAGGTGGGCACTTTACAGGTACAGTAGAGGGAGGTACAGTAAGTGCAGTAGGTATACAGTGTATGTATATTTTATTTATATAGCGCTAACAGGTGTACTACTTTACAGGTTACATTACAGTAGAGGGAGGTACAGTAAGTGCAGTAGGTATACAGTGTATGTATATTTTAAAGCTATATACCAGATGTACTTATAACAGCTGTCCTGTGTATGGCTCAAAGCTCCCGAATCTGTTTTTTTCTCCAGGTCGGTTTCCTATTTTCCCGCATATGGGGAATCAGCACAGTATGAGCACATCATTAGTCAAAATAAAACAATGTATCCGGAAGACACAAATGCTCACAATTATAAATGATTCAGTTATTTTAAGACTAGCTTCGCCGAAAGAAAACCAATCCTGGAAATGTATTAACTGTGAAATACTTTTAGTCAATTTTCGGCTTGATGATAATGTGAGTCAGATGGTCATTTTCAGAGCTCGGTGAAATGAGTTGGTCTTAGTGAGGCCAGGAATGGGCAGATATAACCAGCCAGATGTCATCACTCCCCTCAAACCAAAAACAGATGGGACAGACAAAAAGGGACTTTTAATTGGATAGTGAATTATTTGGACGGGGGCAGGTCTTCCTACACACTATTAGTGAAAATCACTGCAAATGGCATTTTTATTAGAAAGCGCATGAGAAGCCATCAATTTCAGCCTTGATGCCAGAATAAAAATAAAAACAAGAAAGCTGTATCCAGTTGTGAAGAATCTATTATTCATCGTTACAGTTCGAGTGTTTGAACATGGTATTAATATGCACAATGGAAAGAAAGTCCTCTCGATCGGAAAATAGTTCAAACTGTAAACTTTGAGGAAAAATGAAGAGAAGAAATAAATGAGCAGAACGTGCAGATTAGGTGTTTATTACCAGAATCATTGTTACGAGTCCTAATAATAAGATAAGTATCTGTCTATATGTAGACATGATGCACACATACAGTCAGTATAGTCACACCAAGTATCTGTCTATATGTAGGCATGATGCACACATACAGTCAGTATAGTTACACCAAGTATCTGTCTATATGTATGATGCACACATACAGTCAGTATAGTCACACCAAGTATCTGTCTATATGTAGACATGATGCACACATACAGTCAATATAGTTACACCAAGTATCTGTCTATATGTAGACATGATGCACACATACAGTCAATATAGTTACACCAAGTATCTGTCTATATGTATGATGCACTCATACAGTCAGTATAGTCACACCAAGTATCTGTCTATATGTAGACATGACGCTCACATACAGTCAATATAGTTACACCAAGTATCTGTCTATATGTATGATGCACACATACAGTCAGTATAGTTACACCAAGTATCTGTCTATATGTAGGCATGATGCACACATTCAGTCAGTATAGACACACCAAGTATCTGTCTATATGTATGATGCACACATACAGTCAGTATAGTCACACCAAGTATCTGTCTACATGTAGGCATGATGCACACATACAGTCACTATAGTCACACCAAGTATCTGTCTATATGTACACATGAAGCACACATTCAGTCAGTATAGTTACACCAAATATCTGTCTATATGTAGGCAGGGCCAGTGCAAGGATATAGCGGAATGAGTCTTGGAGCACCACCATCATTCTTGCTATGGGCTGTCCGTATCCCCTTTTTCCCGTTGTCCCTATGGTTTGGGGGTTGGCAGTGAGACAGATCTCCCTATTATTAAATTACATGTTTTTCCCCTGTTTTGCCTGGCCGTTCGTTAATAACGTTCTCCTGATTTGCTACCACTGTTTGTGCTTTTGTTGGACTTGGACAGTAACTCTTCGAACTCCCCAAGTGGTTCGAAGCAGCACTTCGAACTCCCGAACTCTCGAAACGGCAGTCAAACACGTGACGGAGTCCATCTTGTTTTGTCGAATGGTGTTTGGTCGTCAAATGTATGGAACTCACATGGGACACTCGATGGCGCAAACACTGCTAAACTCTTACCTTCCATGGATGTTCGGCTATTCAAACGGGAGTCGAACGGCGTTCGGTGGGAATAAGCTCCCGAACCAGAGACATAGACTAAGTTCCATACGAACTCTCTACGTTTGGTATTTTGGACATTACTTTGAATCCCTGAAGTAGGCCGGCTGCATAGCCTGATTCTCTGGAACTGTTTTGTGCATGGGACCATGCGTGCAGTCGGTTAAAATGTGACTTCCATAAAATTTCTGAACCCCGGAACTGATCTGGGTGATCTTTGGATATGGTGGTCACTCAGATCAGGGCTATCAGGGGATGTAACATTTGTGGGGATATTATGTGTTTTTGGGGTACTTTGGGGAATTTGTAAAATGTGTGTTTTTCTGCCTGGAGATAATTGAGTTAATACAGTATCTGACTCAATTATCTCCCAGGCAGAGGGGAGTGATTGTACGCTATGTGTGGGAGTGTCATGTATTGGAATACTGTTCTTTTTGGTCTGTGAATATTGTAACTCAGTTCCCCACAAGGTCCATGTGGGCGTACCCCTTGCATGGGGATTGGCCAAGTTTGGCACCATTAAAACCAGTTATACCCCTAGAACTGAGTGTCGTCCAGTTACTAGGGAGATGGATGGGAGATTCTTTGATTATTTTCCTGTATTTGGCTATGTCTTTGGAGTATCCTGCTTGTTCTTGAGCAGTTAAAGGCAAAGTGTCACAATATTGCGATTTAAGGGGTTAACTGTTTTAGATAATTGGTAACAAGGAATATATGATTCTGGATGGGTTAACTAAAGGGTGCTTTGTGTTTGGGGCGGGTGGGAATGTCATTTCAGGATCTTTTATTATATATAAACGGCTATTAAAGCGTCCTCAGACCATCTGGTCTACTTTTAGGAAAGTAGCAAAGTGGTGATGCAGATCTTTTCACTCGGCGCATGAAAAATAAAATTTTTTATTATTATACCCTGTTCCAGGCCGGTTATGGAGCCATTTTAATCTTCTCCTCGCATGCATTTTAGAACGCTACATGTTTAGTGCTGAAGAATCATTTATTGAGTGCATAAGAATGTATCTACCTGATATAGTTAATGCCCAATTGCTATACATTCCCTCAGTTCGGGATCTGAATATAATATTGACAAAGCCCCCTCCGAATCTCTGATAATGATCCCAGCTACTAACTAGGATGTGTGTTTGGGCAACCATGATTTTAGGTTAAATCTGGGAATTCTCCCTGAATTTGGCCATTTTAGACACTGTTAGTGAATCATTTTGACAATTTATACAGGGGTTGGGCAGAAGGTAATATATTTTTACAAGAACAATTCTCTTTAGAATGTATATATTGTACATCAATATATGTGTATATGAATGTTTTTACAGATTACTGTTATACGTCACTTTCCTATGTCAAGAAGGATCTTCAGAAACATGAAGGAAAATCGTGTTTCCTCATGCAGAGCCCATGACGGACTTTTCCAAAGTTGAGACACAACAATCCTTTTTGAATTTGGATAAATCTGTTTTACCATGTTCAGTCCCACCACCACTCATTAAGTACTCTTTTATGCGGGTCAATATTTATATATATATATATATATATATATATATATATATATATATATATGAACATTTTCTGAAGTTTCTGGAATGCACTGTTAATATAATTCCCTGCTTTCTCTCCATTCATTTTAGAAGCACAGGGTTGTTCTCGCAACATGGTATCATTTCCCCACATGGTATCATTTTATGACATACTCCTCTAGCAGACACGTAAACACGTATCTATTATTTAATCTTGTGATAGACATTCCTGACAGATCTGTATTACATGCTATAGAGACACCATATATTGCGGGGTAAACTCAAGGACAGCGACACTTTCAGAATTGCTCCCAAATCAATTATTTACATCAAACGTTTACAAGAAATCTTAGACGCCACGGAAAATTACCAGTTCATATATCATTGTTTTAGAGACTGAAGAGAAGGGATCAGGTTCAGTATAGACATTGTCATCTCAGTATTAAATGCATACCGTTAGCCCTGATTTTCCAGTCGCTTTACTTTCCGTAGCAATATTTGAATACATAGAGATAAAATCACCAATCATAGATCCCAGATATGCTCAGTTCCATACCGGTTTTTACTTGAACTAGTGGCTGACTCTGTGCAGAATTTCTAGATAATTTGTGATTTAAAATTTACAGTCATATTAAACAAATCTGGTATATGCTGTAAAATGCACTATTCATTTTATAACAGACCGTGTTTCATTATTATTATTTACATTGATCAGTCACAACATTAAAACAACCTACATAATACGGTGTAGGTTCCCCTTATGCTGCCAAAACAGCTCTGATACTATGAGCCATAGACTCCACAAGACCTCTGAACAGGGCCGGCCTTAGACCTTTAGGCGCCCTGTGCAAAAAATCTTCACAGCGCCCCCCCTGTCATCCATGTATGATGTAATGTTTGTGTTGTCTGTGTATGCGATAGGTGTGATGACTGTGTGTGATATGTATGCTATGTGTTGGCTGTGTGTGATATCTGTAATGGGTGTATTAACTGTGTGTGATATGCGTGTATTGGTTGTATGTGATATTTGTGCTGTGTTTATTGGCTGTGTGTGATGGGTATTTTATTCAGATAAAAATATGCATTTAGGCCTGTGTGTGAATGCAGGTGTATATTTTTGCAGAGTTATGGGCGCACAGTCCCACAGTTAGATGCACACAGTTATACATATACACTATCAAATCCACCACATGCACATAGTCGCAGGCAGATAGTCACATACACAGGATCAGGCAGAAACACACAGGTACAGGCAGTAACACACATACAGTTACAGGTAGATAAACACACTCACACACAATTACAGTCAGACAGCCACACACACACACACAGGCAGACAGTCACACATACAGTCTTACACACACACAGCCACACATACAGTCTTACACACAAATACTTACATGCAGACAGTCACACACACATGCAGCCACACACACACACACACAGGCAGGCAGACAGTCACACACACGCAGCCACACACACACAGGAAGACAGCCACATACACACACAGGCAGACAGCCACACACACAGGCAGACAGTCATACACACACACAGGCAGACAGTCACACACACAGAGGCAGATGGCTATACACACACAGAGGCAGATGGCCATACACACACAGGAAGACATCCACACACACACACAGGCAGACAGCCACACATACAGTCTTACACACACAAAGCCACACATACAGTTTTACACACACATACTTAAATGCAGACAGTCACACACACACGCAGCCACACACACACACAGACAGGCAGACAGTCACACACACAGCCACACACACAGGCAGACAGCCACACACACAGGCAGACAGTCACACACAGAGGCAGATGGCCATACACACACAGAGGCAGATGGCCATACACACACAGGCAGGCAGTCACACACACAGGAAGACAGTCACACAGAGGCAGACAGTCACACAGAGGCAGACAGTCACACACACACACATGTAGACAGTCACACACAGAGGCAGACAGTCACACACAGAGGCAGGCAGTCACACACAAACACACACAAACAGAGAGGCAGGCGGCCATACACACACACAGAGGCAGACGGCCATACATACACACAGAGGCAGGCAGTCACACACACACACACACAGGCAGACAGCCATACACACAGGCAGACGGTAACACACACAGGCAGGCAGTAACACACACACAGGCAGACGGCCACACAAACACACACAGGCAGGCGGCCATACATACACAGGCAGAGAGCCACACAAACACACAGAGGCAGACAGCCACACAGAGGCAGACAGCCACACTCACACAGGCAGACAGCCGCAGACAGTCACACACACACACACAGGCAGACAGCCGCAGACAGTCACACACACAGACACAGGCAGACGGCCACACAAACACACACAGGCAGACAGCCACACACACACACACTCACACAGGCAGACAGTCACACACACAGACACACACACATACACAGGCAGACAGTCATACACACACACACACACACACACACACAGGCAGACAGACATACACACACACAGATACACAGGCAGACAGTCACACACACACACATGCAGACAGTCATACACACACACACACAGACACACACACAGGCAGACAGTCACACAGTTACCTCTGTTCATTGTGGAGTGGAGGCAGTGCAGAAACTTCCTGCTGTCCCTGCAGCAGTTAACCGGCACTTTTAGCCCCGCCCCCTGCCTGCAGTTTAGCTCCGCCTCTGCTGTACAGTAAGCTCCGCCCCACCACATTATTATTTTTTTATATAATAATCCCGGCCGGCCATTTGTGAGCTATTCGGCTGTATGGCGCCCCCTGCTCCATGGCGCCCTGTGTGGCCGCACAGCTCGAACACCCCTAAGGCCGTCTCTGCCTCTGAACATGTCCTATGTTATCTGGCACCAAGACATTAGCAAACAGATCCTTTAAGTCCTGCAAGTTGTGAGGTTGGGCCTCCATTGATTGTCGCCTTGGTCGCCTTGGGTGCAGGCTCAGTTCTTCACCACTGCTATTTTCACAGGTCTCTGATGTTGTTGCCGCATCTGCCTAGCAGGTGGTGCCTGGAACACCTGTTAATGTGGACACAGTGGTGAATACTATGGATCAAGCTCCTCCTGGGCCTGCTTTGCTACCGTTACCACACTGAGTCTTGTTCAACTTTGTGTTCTGTGCTTCTTTCTGGCCTTGGGATTTTTTTAGATCAGTGGTGCACAGATGCTAGGGGGTTCTGGGTTGGATAAGCAGTGATGTTCAATCTGGTCTCCCTCTAGTCAGGTCACCAGTTGTTTTGGGCCCCCTGTTGGGCGGCCGTGGTAGCAGCGTTGCGTCATCTACTCTGGCAGTCATGGCTCCACCCGGGATGCTTAGCACAGGTTCTGGCGCGGACGTCTCCTCTACAGATGTGGGTGGTTCCTTGGATGTAGAAGATGTTGCGCAAGGGGCCGCCTATATGTGCTGGTCCAGCCCCTTGGGCTTTCATTTAAAGCAGGATGTTAAGGACAAGATTTGGAAGGGAGAATTTGTAGAGATTTTTTCTCTCCTGCCATTGGAGGATGCTCCTCTTTTGGGCAACAATGAGGGTAAGGACACCCCCCGACAAGCAGAAAGAGAAGGAAAAGGTTCGGTACGATTCCGAAAATATTTGGGAATTGGATTCAAGCTTTTTCCATCATGGTGAGTGTTATTGGGGAAAAGGCTCCCCAAAAGTGTTCGGCTTTGTTTTGTTATCAGGACACCATATGGAATGCTTGCCGTACCTATGGTGGCCTGGGCTGGTGGAGGTACGACGAGCAATTTCATCAGCGGCTCACCTTCCGCCTGTCCATTTCCTGGGACATTGGCCTCTGGCTCTCCATTATGACTTGCCAGGGCCCCACCAGGGCCCCACCCTTGTCCTTGTTTGGGGGGGACCCATGGAGGGGCTGCCTCCACCTCATTAGTCTCCATTCAGCGGCCAGGCTGTTGTTGGAAGTTCAATGACAGTCACTGTAAGTAGGGTGCCTCTTGCAGTTTTAACCACAAGTGCTCTGGGTGTGGGGGTTCCCACCCTGTTAAGCGTTGTTTCAAGGGGGGTAAGCCGGGTGACAAAAATGACCTGGGGGCAACGTCGCTAATGGCTCACAAAAACCCGGTGGGGCCGGTCGCCTGACTTAGTTTGTTTTGGCATCGCGGTTGATTCCGAGGCTGTTGAGTTCTGTTTACCAATGAGTGGGGTTGAGGGTCTGCGCCGGGACATGTTGCTCGCTCGGGGGTTCACGGGAGATTCGGCATTACCAGCTGCGTCTCTTTTGGGTAAATTGAGCTTCGCTTGCTGGATTATGCCTATGGCTGGAACTTTTCACGGGCTTCTGGGGGGTTATCCCGCCTCAGCACCTCGTTCAAATTACGAAATTCTTCGGGGCAATTCTTGGTCAGAGTGGTGTGACAATACTTGGCCGGTGTGGGATGTGGCAGGGAGGTTTCTTTCTCGCCCGCTCAAATGCGAGCTCGGATACTGCTTTTGGGGGGCTCACTGTTGGGTATGCCAGACCAAGTTGATCGGGGTATCAGGAGGTGGTATTCTAGGGAGATTGCTTTGGGGTGCACCATGCCAGTCTCCTTACTTGATGCTTTCTCTCCTCAGGTTCCCCCCCTCCCCCTCCGGGTCTGGGTAACTTGGCATTTGCACGTATTTTGTACGGCAGGTGGGGGGCCGGCCGGGAGGTGAGCTCTTCGGCTTTTAATGCCTTCCGAAGTGTAGGTTTGCTAGTTCGGTGCAATGGGCGTGAAGTGGGTACAGCTCCCCCCTGAGTTGGACAAGCGTCTGCCTGGAGCTCATACTGTGTTGATCATGCACCTGGGGGGTAATGACCTGGGGACTGTACCGGTTTTGGAGTTTGGCATCTATATTTATGCAGGATTTCTCTCGGATAGTACTACCCTTTCTATATCACCGTTAGACTTTACTGCTTCCATTGGAAGGCTACTCCAGGTATCTACTACCCTTTCTATATCACTGTTACTGCTTCCACTGGAAGTCTATTCCAGGTATCTACTACCCTTTCTATATCACTGTCACTACTTCCACTGGAAGGCTATTCCACGTATCTACTATCCTTTCTATATCACTGTTACTGGTCCCACTGGAAGTCCATTCCAGGTACCTACTGCGCTTTCTATATCACTGTTACTGCTTCCACTGGAAGGCTTTTCCAGGTATCTACTACCCTTTCTATATAACTGTTACTGGTCCCAAATGAAGGCTATTCCAGGTATGTACTACCCTTTCTATATCACCATTAGCCTTTACTGCTTCCATTGGAAGGCTATTCCAGGTATCTACTACCCCTTCTATATCACTGTTACTGCTTCCACTTGAAGGCTATTCTAGGTATCTACTAACCTTTCTATATCCATGTTACTGCTTCCACTGGAAGGCTATTCCAGGTATTTACTACCCTTTCTATATTACTGTTACTGCTTCAACTGGAAGGCTATTCCAGGTATCTACTACCCTTTCTATATCCCTGTTACTGCTTCCACTGGAAGGCTATTCCAGGTATCTACTACCCTTTCTATATCCCTGTTACTGCTCCCACTGGAAGGCTATTCCAGGTATCTACTATCCTTTCTATATCACTGTTACTGCTTCAACTGGAAGGCCATTCCAGGTATCTACTGCCCTTTCTATATCCCTGTTACTGCTTCCACTGGGAGGCTATTCCAGGTATCTACTACCCTTTCTATAATCGCTGTTACTGCTCCCACTGGAAGGCTATTCCAGGTATCTTCTACCCTTTCTATATCACTGTTACTGCTCCCACCGGAAGGCTATTCCAGGTATCTACTACCCTTTCTATATCACTGTTACTGCTTCCACTGGAAGGCTATTCCAGGTATCTACTAACCTTTCTATATCACTGTTACTGCTTCCACTGGAAGGCTATTCCAGGTATCGCTATTCCAGGTATCTACTACGCTTTCTATTTCACTGCTCCCACTGGAAGGCTATTCCAGGTGTCTACTACCCTTTCTATATCCCTGTTACTGCTTCCACTGGAAGGCTATTCCAGGTATCTACTACCCTTTCTATATAAGTGTTACTTCTTCCACTGGAAGGCTATTCCAGGTATCTACTACCCTTTCTATATCACTGTTACTGCTTCAACTGGAAGGCCATTCCAGGTATCTACTGCCCTTTCTATATCCCTGTTACTGCTTCCACTGGGAGGCTATTCCAGGTATCTACTACCCTTTCTATATCTCTGTTACTGCTTCCACTGGAAGGCTATTCCATGTATCTACTACCCTTTCTATATCACTGTTACTGCTTCAACTGGAAGGCTATTCCAGGTATCTACTACCCTTTCTATATCACTGTTAATGCTCCCACTAGGAGGCTATTCCAGGTATCTACTACCATTTCTATATCACTGTTACTGCTCCCACTGGAAGGCTATTCCAGGTATCTACTACCCTTTCTATATCACTGTTACTGCTCCCACTGGAGGGCTATTCCAGGTATCTACTACCCTTTCTATATCACTGTTACTGCTCCCACTGGAAGGCTATTCCAGGTATCTACTACCCTTTCTATATGACTGTTACTGCTCCCACTGGAAGGCTATTCCAGGTATCTACTACCCTTTCTATATGACTGTTACTGCTCCCACTGGAAGGCTATTCCAAGTATCTACTACCCTATCCAATAAGCCCCATGAAACTTGTCGAAGATAATGAACCCAATGAAGCCAGTGCGTGGCGTTTTGTCTTTGTTGCCTGGGTTTGGCAAAGTGCCGTTTCTCCTTTAGAGCTGATGTGATGTCTCCTGAATATGGGAAAAATTCCTATTATGATTCTTAATCCTGTTTCGTCTTTAACTTTTCACCTCCCATTCTTAGCATCCCCATGAATGCAATTAGCTGACATCAAACAGCAGAGTTTATCCATTCCAGGCGGGCGGCTTTCAAGCTGACTATCGCCTTTACAAGCTCTCCACGATTTTTCCAGCCGGTAAATGTGAAGCCGTAAGTGGAAGGGGGGGTCGGTGCCAGGTGTCACTCGTAGAGACCTCAGCATGAGTCGCACACAATCAGTGTCTTCATGAGGAATTGCGAGCACAGGTGGGGGAGCACTGCTCCGTTAGCTGTTCTCCCAGAATCCCTTGCTCCTTTTCACAGCCTGAGAATTCTTTCACATCTCTGTCCCCCGCTGCTCCGGGACGGAGGCCGCTCAGCACAGGAGGGCTGTGACCAGCCTACTCCTTTTTAAGAAGAAACACATTATGCCTGTTAGTTTATAAAAGAGGCTGGCGAGGTCAGCAATTAACCATTCCTGGGCTGGCACCGCCAACGAAGTCATATCCCATGCAACCCACACTAATTGCAACCGTTCGTGTTTCCTACAAACAACAGATTCAAATAAAAAAAAAGAAAACAGAACTGATGTAACATTTCTTTCCAATAAAATAGCATTTAATTTACATTTTATAAAGAGTGGCTTTTTAAACAACAACTGCAATGTGTCCAAATGTAATAATATTATTAAACATACCCATACAACATCAATAAAGAGCACTCTCACAGACAAAATCCAAACAAGTTGGCATGTGAGCTTACAATCTAATGGAAGTAATGGGAGTGAGACAGGTGGTATTCTCTATAATTAGAAACTTGTCACATAGCAGAGCCCTATAGAGTTACCACAAAACATTGTACAGCGCTGCAGAACACGTTAGAGTCTCTAGTCATTGAGGTAAATATAATATATAATGTTTATTTTTGATTGATGCGCTCTGAGATAAAAGGGGATTTAGTCAGAGTTTATTTGTTTTTGTTTTCTTGTCTGCTACTCAATGTGCTCATTCATTGATTATTAAACACCAGGTTTTTTTGCAGCCAAGAAAGCGTAAAATGCTGCTGATACGAGCTGCTCTTAAAGAGGAATCGGACGTTTCAGTGGAAGAATATTGATTCGTTACTCATGATTCTTAGGTGATCACCTTATTTGATTAATTCTAATTCTCCATTTATTTGTATAAACTAGATCTGGTCATTAATTAATAGCCCGCTTTACCAGTCACATCACATATTCTAGTCTGGTTTTCCCGAATTGTACAAACTCTGTCATGAGACAGGAGTCAAGTAAGTCCCCCATTGTGGTGACAGGTCATCGATTTCTCATGGTGGAAGAAGGTAGACAGAGTTAGACCCATGGAAGCCTCCTGCAGGCCTGGCTCAGTGTGGGCCCAGCTAAGATTCAGCTCTCGGAGACAGTTAAATAGATCTGACAGTGTTGGCCTATCAGTCACTCCTGCAGAATGTGCCTCTCGCTTTCTCCAAACAATGTTGCCTAGCAAATCTATTCAGGGCTGAATATCACAGTTGTCCATTTTGCCTTAGACATGTGCACTCAAAGCATTCTTCTTCCCCCCGAGGCGCCCCTCCTCGTGCTCCAAGATACAGTACTTAAGAAGAGGTGTGCAGATGGGGGACCTTGGTCCTGAGAGTTCACAGCTTTTGTCTGCTGGAAGAAAATGTTTGTTTAAGCTCCTTGAATGACTGCCCTCATTATGAAGTGATGGGGAGAAGTAAAGGGAGACAGTGCGGCTTTTTGCTGTGATTAAGTGGGGGAACTGGATAGCATCGGCCACAATATTGCGCAATCGTCCTGAATGCGAAACACACTTTCTACTAAGTGGAATAGAGAGGGTTAATTCTAGCAATGGAATGTGGGTTCCTTTAAAACTGCCAATCCACCACCAAAACACACAACATACAGAATACAGAGTAAATCTCTCTCTCAATCTCCCTCCCCCCCCCACCTTCTCCCCGTACTCTGTCGCAAGGAGATAATAATAATGGTCAGGGACACTATCAGGAGGTGAGAACCATGATGGTAGCGTGTAGCTGCACCAGGGCCCGCACGCTGATAGGCCCTATATCTTCAGGGGCCGAGTCAGCCCTGTGGCCATATAAGAGCGCGACCGTGCTCCATTAAAAATAAAATGCAGCCGCAAGTATTGCTGGGAGGAAGTGACGGTCGGTCATTTCCTCCCATCTCACTCTGTGCGGGAGGAAGGAGAGACAGGCCATGAAGAGGGAGAGCCAGCCAACATCCCATCACCCCCAGCCACCCTCCTGCAAAAGAAATGGTAAGAAACAGGAGGGTGGCTGAAAAATGAGATGTATATGTATGTATGTCAGTATGTCTGTCTGTCGGTATGTCAGTATGTCAGACTGTAAGCTTGTTTGAGCAGGGTCCTCAACTACCTATTGTTCCTGTTACATTTTGTTATTGTCTCATTTGGTAAATTCCCCTCTTATTGTAAAGCGAATGTCAGTGTGTATGTCAGTCAGGGCCGGATTAAGAGCCCAGTGGGCCTGGTGCTGACAATTATGATGGGGCCTAATTACAGAATCTTATCGACCAAAAACACTAAAACAGTCATACCTCTCAAGCATCATGTATCTGATGGAGTTGGTGTTGGAGGGAAACTCAAAGGATGCAGCCATAAGAAAACACATACTCTATGCTAATCTCTTTATCTAATTCAGGGGTAGTCAACCTTTTAATGCCTACCCCCTACTTTTGTATCTTTGTTGATGGTAAAATTTCTTTACTGCCCACCAATGCTGCAGTAACTTATTTTATAGCGAAAGTGCAATTTAAATTTTTTTTGAAAGGAGGGTTTTGTATGTGTGTGTGTGTGTGTGTGTGCGTGTAGGGGGCTGTGTGTGTGTTAGGAGTGCTGTATGTGTGTGAATGGTGCAGTGTGTGTGTGTGAGAGGTGCAGTGTGTATGTGAATGGTGAATTGTCTGTGTGAAGGGTGCAGTGTGTGTGTGAAGAGTGCTGTGTGTGAGAGGGGTGCTGTGTGTGAGAGGGGGCAGTGGGTGTGTGAGGGTTGCAGTGTGTGTGTGTGGGGGCAGAGTGTGTATGAGGGGGCAGTGTGTTTGTGAGAGAGGCAGTCTGTGTATGAGGGGGCGGTGTAGTGTGTGTGTTTTTGTGTGACAGGTGCATAGGGTCTATGCTGTGTGTAGGTGGATGAGATGTGAAAATCTATCTTAATGTCTCCCCCTCCCTTCTTCTTACCTTTTACCAGGGAGGGGAGGCATAGTGCTGCAAGCACTGGTGGTCCAGTGGTGGCATGTTCACTTTAGCCTGCAGCTCCTGCAGCTGCAGGCTGACTCTCCTGTCCTCCTGCGAGCACAGCACTGTAATGGAGCATTGCCATGGTAACGCGCAGCAATGCTCCGATCAGCCTGCTCGCAGGAGGATCACAGAGCCTCTCTCTGTTTGAACTAAGTGCCAGTGGTACTCTGAGGGAGATCTCTGATCTCCTCACCAGCCTGAAAGGGTTTTCAGCAAGGCTGGCTCTGCATGGGCTGGCAGGGGAGATGAAAGGATCTCACATGCCAGCCTTGACCCACAGCCATCAAGGCCCACTGGGCTTTTTCCGCAGAACCCACCTCCGCCCATCTGAAATCCCAAGCCGCCCTCTAGTGGGCGGTTGTGACCAGGTTGACTACCCCTGATCTAATTTATGTTTTCATCTTTCAAGTAAATCCATACCAACAGCAGTGTCCAGTGAAGCAGGAAGCCAATGGGCGGGGTAAAAGAGTCGGCCACTGATGTGAATCACATGACCAGAACTGCCAAAAGGGGCGAACATGCCCAAAAAGGGGGTATGTCTGTCCAAAGAATTGGAAGGCCAGACTGGCATCAGTGTCCCTATGCATAACAGTGTCAGTGTCTCCATGTCGCCCAGTCCCCTAGTCTCCCAGTGTCTGTGTGCCCATTTCTCCCAGTGTCCCAATGTCTCAGTGTGTCCCATATCACTAGGATACTAGGGGACACTGAGAGACATGGGGACACAGAGACACAGGGACACTGAGACACAGGAACACTGAGACACTTAGGGACACTGGGAGACATGGGGGCACTGAGACACTTGGGGACACTGGGAGACATGAGGGCACTTGTGGATACAGACATGGGGACACTGAGACATGGAGACAGTGGGAGACATGGGGACACAGGCATTTGGGTACACTGGGAGAAATGGGGTCACAGACACAAGGGACACAGAGACATGGGGACGCAGACACTGGGAGACATGGGGACACAGACACTGGGAGACAGGGGGACACTGAGACACTAGGGACACTGGCTGGGAGACATAGGGACACTGGGAGACATGGGGACACAGACACTGTCTGGGAGACACAGGGACACTGGGAGACATGGGGACACAGACATATGGGGACAATGGGAGACATGGGGACACAGAGAGTCATGGGGACACTGAGACACTAGGGACACTGGCTGGGAGGCATGGGGTCACTGGGAGCCATGGGGACACTGAGACACTAAAGACACTGGCTAGGAGGCATGGAGACACTGGGAGACATGGAGACACTGTGTCCCTAGTGTCTCCGTGTCCCAATGTGTCTACCTATGTCTCACAGCATCCCCATGTGTCTCAGTGTCTCCATGTCCTCCCAGTGTCCCCTAGTGTATTAGTGTCACCATGTGTCCCCTAGTGTCTCAGTGTCCCCATGTCTCCCTGCTGCCTTTCCCCTCATCCCTCACTTCCCTGGGCTGTAGTCTGTCTCTGCAGGCTGGGAGCTGCTGTCTGAACTCTCTGTACTCTGTTGCTGCTCCCCCGCGGATCAGTGAGTAGAGAGAGGCAGGGAGGGATATGCTGTAACTTCCTATCCCTGCCTCTCTCCATACACAGTGACCCCTCCTGGCCGGTGCTGGTATTGCAGAGTAATCTCCATTTATACTGAGAAAATTTTTTGCATTTGTCTTGCCGGTATTACTGCAATACCATCACGGCCAGGCAGCCTTAAATACAGGCTGTGCCCTAAAATACCAGTCAGATGGAAAACCTAAGAGTAGTGTTTTAAAAAAAAAGTTAAAAAAAAAGTTTAAAATTTTTTTTTATTTTTTTCTTTCAATGGGCCTACTCCATGGGCCTGGGCCTGGAGCTGCAGCTCCATCAGCCCCTATGTTAATCCGGCCCTGATGTCAGTATGTATGTAAGTCTGTATGTCTGTATGTATGTTAGTCTGTATGTCTGTATATCAGTCTGTCTGTCAGTATGTATGCATGTATGTATGTCAGTCTGTATGTTAGTCTGTATGTCTCTATGTCAGTATGTCTGTCAGTCTGTATGTCAGTATGTTTGTATGTCAGTCTGTATGTATGTATGTCAGTATGTATGTCATTATGTTTGTGTATGTATGTATGTATATGTATGTGTGTGCATGTATGTATGTATATGTATGTATGTGTATATGTATGTGTGTCTGTATGTCCTCATTTGTGTGTGTTTGTGTGTATGTCACTATGTATGTCTGTGTATCTGTATATGTGTGTATGTCTGTTTTAGTATGTGTGTGTGTGTGTGTGTATGTCACTATGCATGTCTGTGTATCTGTATATGTGTGTATGTCTGTTTTAGTATGTGTGTGAGTATGTATGCCTACATGTGTGTGTGTCTGTTTCAGTATGTGTGTCTGTTAGTATGTATGTGTGTGTCAGTATGTGTGTGTAGCGGATGGCACTGGGCTGTCCTGAAAATTTCATGTGAATAGCTGCATTCGTGTAAACTGTTGGTTTTATATGTGTTTTAAAATAATTGTATTCCTCTGATTGTTCGGTAGAATCAATCGAATAAACTAAGGGAATTAAACTACCGAACAATCAGACCTCCCCTGTGTGAAGTGTGTCCTCAATTACCCGTTGCAACATTGTTGCGAACGGGTAATTGACAAGTTAAGTAGCCGTCCTTTGTTCTCGGGGGTGGCCGCCATTTGACAAACGAACACGTGGCGGTGGCCATTTTAAAACTCCAGAACAGCGGTGTTTTGCCGTTGAGTGTCTGGAACTCAAATCGGACACTCGACTAGGCGAACACCGCTGAAACCTCCACAAGCCCGGTCCGTTTGGTTCCTAACTACCGAACGGCCCCTCGTTCGGTAGACAGAAAGAACCGAATGAGGGGATTCAGGCGAACCCTCCCTAGCCTCTATAGCTAGAGGTTTTTGTGCCATTCATTCCCTGATTCACATGGAAACGCATTCGGCTGTTTCACTCAGTGCGGTCGGTCATTTTATTCCCTCCATAAATTTCCCGAACCCCTGGTCTGATCTGGGTGATTTTTGGATATGTTGTTCACCCAGATCAGGGCTACCAGGGGATGTATGATTTAAGGGGGTACCCCTACGTTTAGGGGTACATCCAGAAACGGGGGGAATTGCAGTACTGGATAAGGGGATTATGATGCAGGCTGAGGGGAGGAGATGTGTGGGCGGTTACCAGGACAGGATTGGCTACTGTACTAATGACCGTAAATCCCTCCCTTGCATGGGAGCATGCTTTAAAAGGCCAGTGTGGAATAAAGCTTTCAGTTCTGCTCCTGAAACTGTGTGTCGTCCAGTTATTGGGATTGCTGTTGGGATATTGCTGTTACAATTTACTTGTTCCTGAGCTTCACTTGGATTATAAGCGGAGATAACCTGGGGAATATTGCATCTCCGCTACAGTGTGTATCTTTGTATATGTGTCCTTTTGTATCAGTGCATGTGTTTGTGTCTGTCTGCGTATTCCTGTGAGAGGGACTTAGAGGCGGGCCCTGTGGGCGGGCTTGGAGGCAGGCCCCTGGGGACCCAGACCCTGAGCTGTGTTAGGGGCTCCAAAGTTTCTGATAGAGACCCTGATAATGGCTACTGGTAAACATGGGGTGACAGTCATGGTCTCTCTGTATTCTCCCTCACAGGCTTCTTACAGATCAGATAAAACTGAAAGGAAAGTTCATCCAATCTACCCCCCTTTAATTCCTATTATAACTGGAAGTTACCTCATTAAACAAAAGGGCCGATAAATCTTCCAAACAGAGTCATCGAGCTAACAAAATAGACACAGGATGGTCAATCCCCCGAACACAGGCAGCAAGTTAACAGACATAGGCGATTAATCCCCTGCACACAATCAGTGAGCTAACAAAATAGACACAGGGTGAGCAATGCCCCAAACACAGTCAGCAACCTAAAAAAACAGACACAGGACGATCAATGCCCCGAACACAGTCAACAAGTTAACACAACACAGGGCGAGCAATGCCCCAAACACAGTCCACGACCTAAAGAAACAGAAACAGGACGATCAATGCCCCGAACACAGTCAACAAGTTAACACAACAGACACAGGACGATCAATGCCCCGAACACAGTCAACAAGTTAACACAACAGACACAGGGCGAGCAATGCCCTGCACACAGTCAGTGAGTTAACAAAACAGACACAGGGTGAGCAATGCCCCAAACACAGTCAGCGACCTAAAAAAACAGACACAGGACGATCAATGCCCCGAACACAGTCAACAAGTTAACACAACACAGGGCGAGCAATGCCCCAAACACAGTCCGCGACCTAAAGAAACAGAAACAGGACGATCAATGCCCCGAACACAGTCAACAAGTTAACACAACAGACACAGGACGATCAATGCCCCGAACACAGTCAACAAGTTAACACAACAGACACAGGGCGAGCAATGCCCTGCACACAGTCAGTGAGTTAACAAAACAGACACAGGGTGAGCAATGCCCCAAACACAGTCCGCGACCTAAAGAAACAGAAACAGGACGATCAATGCCCCGAACACAGTCAACAAGTTAACACAACAGACACAGGATGATCAATGCCCCTCACACAGTCAACAAGTTAACACAACAGACACAGGGCGAGCAATGCCCTGCACACAGTCAGTGAGTTAACAAAACAGACACAGGGTGAGCAATGCCCCAAACACAGTCAGCGACCTAAAAAAACAGACACAGGACTATCAATGCCCCGAACACAGTCAACAAGTTAACACAACATACACATGGTGAGCAATGCCCTGAACACAGTCAGCAAGCTAACAAAACAGACACAGGTTGATCAATGACCCAAACATAGTCAGCAAGCTAACAAAACAGACACAGGTTGATCAATGACCCAAACATAGTCAGCAAGCTAACAAAACAGACACAAGGTGATCAATCCCATGAACACAGCCAGCAAACTAACAAAACAGACACAGGGCGATCAATCCCCCAAACACAGTCAGCAAACTAACAAAACAGACACAGGGCGATCAATGACCCAAACATAGTCAGCAAGCTAACAAAACAGACAAAGGGTAATCAATTCACCGAACACAGCCAGTAAGCTAACAAAACAGACACAGGGTGATCAATGCTTTGAACACAGTTAGCAAGCTAACAAAAACAGATACAGGGTGAGCATTGCCCCGAATATCGTCAGCAAGCCAACAAAACAGACACACTGCAATCAATGCCCCGAACACAGACAGCAAGCTAACAAAACAGACACAGGGTGATCAATCCCCTGAACACAGCCAGCAAACTAACAAAACAGACACAGGGCGATCAATCCCCCAAACACAGTCAGCAAGCTAACAAAACAGACACAGGGCGATCAATCCCCCAAACACAGTCAGTGAGCTAACAAAATAGACAGAGGGCGATCAAGCCAAGAACACAGTCAGTGAACTAACAAAACAGACACAGGGTGATCAATGGCCCAAACATAGTCAGCAAGCTAACAAAACAGACAAAGGGTAATCAATGCCCCGAACACAGCCAGCAAGCTAACAAAACAGACACAGGGCGATCAATGCCATGAACACAGTTAGCAAGCTAACAAAAACAGATACAGGGTGAGCATTGCCCCGAATATCGTCAGCAAGCCAACAAAACAGACAGTGCAATCAATGCCCCGAACACAGACAGCAAGCTAACAAAACAGACACAGGGTGATCAATCCCCTGAACACAGCCAGCAAACTAACAAAACAGATACAGGGCGATCAATCCCCCAAATATAGTCAGTGTGCTAACAAAACAGACACAGTGCAATCAATGCCCCGAACACAGGCAGCAAGCTAACAAAACAGACACAGGGTGATCAATCCCCCAAACACAGTCAGCAAGCTAATAAAACAGACCCAGGGCAATCAATCCCCCAAACACAGTCAGTGAGCTAACAAAAGAGACACAGGGCGATCAAGCCAAGAACACAGTCAGTGAACTAACAAAACAGACACAGGGCGATCAATGACCCAAACACAGTCAGTGAACTAACAAAAACAGATATAGAGCGATCAATGACCCAAACACAGTCAGCATGCTAAGAAAACAGACAAAGGGCGATCAATGGCCTGAACACTGTTAATTGAGTGGGCTTTGCCACACACTCAGATCGTGCCTTCATTCCAGTGTTA